TTTGGGAGTAGAAAGAAAGTACATGGCAATCTTGATTTTGCCAGATCCTCCCTACCAGTCTCTATTTCTTGAAATACAGGACTCCTGATGCTCAAGTGAAAATTAAGCTTTTCAACGTGGCCAACCTGGGTTTTGTGACTACAGGGAAAGGCTGCAATACTGTTAATCATACAGCTGTTGCAGTCAGTCTTGGGCACTTTAATTTCAAGGAACAGAGAGAATTTGAGTTTGAATAGAACATGCTGTATAGCAGTAGTGGCAGGTTTTAGAGGCAGAGATGAAAAGAAGATAAAAGAAAGTTTACAAGGCTTGGCATTGGGAGGTATACATGATCTCAGGCCTGCCAGAGCTTTGCCTCTATGACGAAACACTTTGACAGCATCAAGTAGGGCACTAGATAATGTGGAGAGTTGCTGGGACTCGTATATCCATTCCCCCACCATGCACCAACAGGAAGGAGAAAAGTTCTCTGGAAATGTGCTAATACTGGAGTCTTTTGCAATGAGCCATATGACAAGGTGTTATTGAACAGTTTGGAAAATTAGATTCAGTTAAAGCATGTTATTACAGGAGCAACATATAGTAAGGCATTATTCTAGAAACTTTACAAGTCACAATAAATATGTTTTCTTGATAACTAAAGTTTGTTCAAGAAGAAAAGAAAATGTGGCAGATGCTATCCTTATAAAACCCAATTAAAAACAGAATTTAACTGCATGAGATTTGGAGAGTTGCAGCGGATGATCAGATACCAATTCTTAATAACCTTTCCAGTAAATCAACTCTCCTGCAAGTCAAGTCATGGGGAGTGGTTTCCAACCTCCAACTCTTGTCTAAAATCCAGAACTGGTGGGAGCCCTAGGAGAAACTGTGTCAATTAATTTATTATATGAGATCTGGGATACTCCAGACACAAATTATTGTTTAGGAAGTACTCCTTTATAGCGTGCATCTGGTAATAAAAAAGCATTTCCTTCCCTCGCCCATTTAAAAAATGTGATTATATAAAAGATGAATATTTTCTACTATATTTATACTTAAATTATACTTACTAGAAAGACTTACACTAGACATCAATAAATTAAGATCTGAAAATAAGGGAAACTAAGGAGACAAATCAATTCCTGCAGTAAAGTTGCCTGATAGATACCCTGAGAATTCTTTGTTGGAGAGAAAAAGAGAGAGAGAGACAGAGAGAAAGAGAGAGAGACAGACAGACAGACACAGAGACAGAGACAGAGAGAGAGGTAGAGAGAGAAAGGAAGAAAGAGAGAGAGAGAGATTCTGCAACTATATTATTACTGAAAAGAAAATAGCTTGATGTTCTTTTACTGATTGTAAGAGTCATTGACCCAGATGAAAGTTTTGATTTGGAGAGTGGAAATGATAATAGAAGACAGTAGTAAGAATATTTCTTTAACTTTATTCCTAGAGTATTTTAAGGTAGCAGTTGCCTCAGATGATATTCTAAGGTTTTGAAAGTATTATAAAGATGAAACTTCCCTGGGGAGGAAGTTTTTGTCTGATATTATTTATAGCTGTAGCATTTTCATATTGTTAGATGATTACTATGTCTCTTCTTATCCTTAAAACTTTAAAAATTTTAGTATTTTCATTTCCTCTCTCATCTGAGGTGCATAAAAGAAAAGTTAGGCAAGAAATAAACATCAAAAAGAATAAACGCTTTCAAAAATCCTTTATTCTTAAAGGGCAATCTGCAAAGACGTTTCAAGGAAATAAAATGCTAACTCACAAAGCATTCTAATGCAAAAATTGATTCTCTTAAATAAAGTTTCTGTTATTTTACTGAAAAAAAAACAAAAGAATTTGTTTATTTTAGGTCCATATTGTCTAGTACTGTAATCTTTCAGGTAAGAACTACAAAGCCCATAGAATTCACATGTCATTTTGAGTATCTACCCCCAGGACATTAAAATGCTCATTCAAAAGGACATATGCACTCTACTATTTATTACTGCACCCAAAGTAAGAGCTCAGATATTGAATCAATGTAGGTGTCCAACAACAATTGAGTGGATTATGAAGATGTGGAATACATATGAATAATGAAATACTATGCAGCAAGCAGCAAAGAACAATGAAATTACATAACTTGCTGCAGAATGGTTGGAACTGGAACATATCATGTTGAGTGAAGTAAATCAGAATAACAAAGACAAACACAGGATGATCTCACTTATGTGTGATATATAGGATACTGAATGAGGAAATGTAGTAAAGGGGACAGAGAAGGAAAGAAATCAAGGGGGCAAGAAGAGGATGGGAAGTAATGGGTGAACAGGAGTCAGAGCTTCAGTTCTGACTGGTATGGGTGAGTGGTATAGCCATATATCCAAAATACAGACTAAGCAACACTGAAAATATAATACCTAAGCCGCAAACACTGGGACTTTGTAATGCCCCTGTCAAGTTGACAGCTAGGAGATGGGGAAGGGGTTGAGTGGGTGGGGATGGAATCTGAGAACTCTGGTGGAGGGATGTAGACATTGGTGGTGGAATTGATGTTGAAATATTATATGCCTAAGACTCAACTATCAATAGCCTCACAAGTCACAGTCCTTTCTTTAATTTTTTAAATGTAAAGACAACAGTAGAAATCCATGTGTTACAGAGGTATCTACTGATGCAGGGTGACTCGAGATAGACTGGGGAAGTGCCAGTATTGAAGTGGGTGTCTAGTACTGTGTGAGGAAATGTGAGAAATTTTCTTAGGATCCAAGTCACAGACAGAAGTAAGAAATTAATATTTTAGATTCTCAAAGAAGTAAAAGTTGTTCGGGCTCAAAGAGGGAGCTTGAGATCTGGGTGCTAAAAGTAAGTTGTTCCATTATTTCCTCTTTGTTTCAAGAAAGAGAATGTTATAGATATTGTGCATGAAGATGCCAATCACTTACCCGAGGACACACACTCATGGGTATTGTCACATATGACTCAGATCCTCATTTATCTATATATTTATTTTGCATTATATTTTTCCATTTTTTTATTGTTGTTACAGTACTGGGGATCAAACCCAGTCTATTACATTCACTTATATAAGAGTAATACTATTACTTACATACTATTACTCTTATGTAAGTATACATAATATACTACTACATAACAGTTATCCCATGTTCACTTGATGATTAGAGATAACTACTCTTGATAGGACTGTGCATTTGTTTTGTTTGAATGGTTGACTCCATGATATAAAGAATCTAAAGTAACTACAGACAGTCATATCTAAATTCTAATGGGAATTCTATGATGATTATAAAGGAATCTAAATGCTAAAGTACATAGTTTGTCCTTGATTTTAACTATGTATATTCCTTTATTTTCCTTTCTCAGTACTGGGGATCAAATGGAGGGTCAGGAAAGTACTGCAGCACAGAGTCACATCCACAGCCCACATTTTTGTCCTTGAAACTCATCTTTAGTATAAAAAATAGTCTTTCTTAAGATTTGCTCACAAATTCATTTAACTCTTAAATATAAAAAAAAATTGACTTTGAGACAAGATTAAATTTTGATTTATTTAAAAGGGCCAAAATGGCAGCAATTTTTAAAATTGGAGTCACTTTCCAGACAATAAGCTAACATGCTATTTAAATCTGTCTGAAAATTGGAATGCCATATACAAGTATGTGTTTATCAGTGTTGGAAGGATTTTTGCTTATTCTGACAATCTAGAACCAGTTGAAACTACTCTAGAATGCAGCTGAGTTGCCCATCAGCATTTCATAACCTCTTGCTTATCCTATATATTTCTGACTAAAGCAGAGTACATTTTCTTCTTTCAGATTTTGAAATTTTAATTTGGAATCACTTCACTGACTCTGGGAAGAAGTTTAACAAAGCTGTATTCAGCGTTTCATTATCTTTCTATTAATTGTGGTTCTTAGAACATCTGGGGTATAAGTATTTAAAACTGTCAAAGTTGCCTTCTGGGACATTTTCTTTCACAAATTAATATTTTTCAAAAAGGATCCCATAAAAATAATGGCACTGACATACTAGACAAAGCATCTGCTTTTATTTTGACAGTTCTCCTTGAACTAGGAAACACAATTTTACATCTATAATTACAACACAGACTGAGTTTCAAAACGTTTTTAAAAGCTGCTGCTTTATTTTCTGCAGATGATGAGCCAAGACTTTGTTATTAAGAAATAGGTACTTTGTGAATGATTTAAAAAGTTCACAGACACTTGGTTGATGGCCAGATGTAAATGATTAAATTTTAGGATGTTATTACATTTTTGCATTTCAAAACACCGCTTTCTAAGTGAAAGTCATATTCCCTCTAAAACACATATCTAGGAATCTTTTAGTATCTACTGGCAAACCTTTTTTATCTATTTTATTAAAAATAAACCTTTTGATCATCAAATTTTATACTTACACATAATAGTCTAATTATGCATATAGCCTAATTAATCACTTAATAATTATGAAGTGCAGAATTTTATTTATTTATTTTTTCTGTTTTTTTAAAATTTTTATTAGTGAAACACCATGAGTTACAGTCGTAGACCCACAATTTTTTGTGCTTGGGTTTCGATTACACAACGATCAAATACCCATCCCTCCACCAGCGCCCACCCTCCACCACCATGGATAATATTCCTCCCACCCCCATCCCCCCATCCCACCCTGCCTCTGTGGCAGGGTATTCCCTTTTGTTCTCTCTCTCTCCTTTTGGGTGTTGTGGTCTGCAAAAGAGGCTTTGAGTGGCAAACATGTTCAGTCCATAGTCTACTTTCAACATGCATCTCCCCTTTTGGGAGGATCCTCCAAACATCCTTTATTTGGTGCTCCCTTCTCTATCTGAGCTGCCCTTTCCCCTAGAATGCCCAGCTGGCCTCTAAGCTATGGAGTAATCCTCCTGGTGCTGATCTCAGCTATTCTTGGGTATTAATCTCATATTTTGTTACTTTATATGCCCCAGGAAAAAGACTATGAAGGCCCCAACTGCTCAGTCCAGGTTATCTAAAGTGAACAAGATTAAAAGGTTTTAACTTATTCTTTATGTCAGTTGACAGATTATCCACTAAAATATCTATTAGCTAACATCTTCAGGTACTGCTGTTACAGGGGCACTCAAAGCTTGAGTCTGCAGGATGGAAAGGTTTTCTTTAAAGCAACATTGGTCCAAACAGGAAACTCAATGCACTTAGCCATCTTCCTTTGGAGGAGTGTACCAACCATTTTTCTCGTGAATCTGTACAATGGAATTATAAGATTGCTGAGCTCTTGCTAGATTATACTGATTCTTGTTTGCACCAAACTGCACTCTGGCTTTGCCTTTAACTAAGGTGGCATTGATTTGCATGATGATCGATTCTATTGAGTAGGCATTGCTCCAGCCCTGTTTCGTGAGAAGTTCCATACACAATGCTCCACCACCCAATACATACCCTCCAGAGAGAACAGGCAACACCACTCGAACAAATGGAGGATCAAATGGAAAATTATCCTTAAAAGAGAAATTAAGCAAAATATATTCTATGCCTTCTTTTTCTTTTAAGATCTGAAGATCACTGTGCAAAGGACTATCGGGATCAACCTTCTGCAGTTTAACATGCCAGTCATATAAACTGTCATTTATGAGCTGCACTGAATAAATCCCTGTTTTGTAACTCTGTGATCTGTATATGTCCCTGAGCTCTTTCATAAGTCTATCTGAAGTTTGCACAGACCCAGACACTGCACCATTTAGATGGTCCTGCCTTTGAGTCTTCCTAATTTTCTCTCATATTGCCAAGTTTTCTTTTTCAATTCCTTCATCCTCTGACTTTTTTCCACTAAAAGGTTCTTCTTCCTTCATCTCATAGTGATCCAAGTCTACTAAATCTTCAGCCATGTCTTCCTCTTCCTCCTCTTCTGAAGTCACTTCATCTGTTGTCCTAATCTGACCCGCAGGCAGTGGTTGATCTAGCATCTCAACATCCAGGTGCTTAGGAAGATTATATAATCTGCAGAGTTCACTTATCAACCACTTCAATTGCTGATGAAGCGAATTATTGTTCTTAGTATCGACACTACCTCCACTACCCAGCTGTTGCCACACTCCAGGATGCTTTCCGGACCCGCGTGGCAGCTCTGGCCAAGACTCACGCACGACTGAAGACCCACAGAACAAGATAAGCGGAACTCTCTGAGACCTTGGACTCCAGCTTGGCAGACTCAGGGACAGAGTTTCTCTGCTTGCTCCCACCAACCACAGGTGACAAAGGGATTCTAATCAGGAGCCCCACCCTACCCTGCCCTGTCTGTTTCCATCAACCACCCAGGGATCGGATTGCGCACAGAAGACCCACCCTACCCAGATAAATACCCCACTGACAGACTTCCACTATCGACACTACCTCCACTACCCAGCCGTCGCCACACTCTAGGACGCTTTCCGGCCGCTTTGCGGTCGCGCAACACATCATAAGACACTAAATACCCATCTACCGGAATTGTCGTACCATATTTGATAGGGTTCAAATATGGTAACACCTACAAGGGTGATTAGAGGTCACCCCAAAAGCCTCTATCCCTCTCGGAAAGACTGGCAAGCTACCGAGAATATTCCGCCCGCAGGGAAGAGCCTGGCAAGCTATCTGTTGTGTATTCGATATGCCAAAACCAGTAACTACAACTGGTCTCATTCACCTGACCCTGAAGGCTTCACCGACATGGCAGCACTGAGAAGGATGAGAAAGGAAAGGCCGACAAAATCTCAAGGCCGAACTAGGCTGCCACAACGAAGGAAGACAAAAATGATCATCTGTACTTTCAATGCACGTGCGCTAGCATCAGATACATCCATTGAGGACCTGATGGTACAAGCGCGAATGATCAAGTACGACATCATTGGTCTGACCGAGACAAGAAGGCACGAATCTCACCATGCCGTTTTTGACATTGGAGAAGAATTGTTCCTCGGAACATGCGATAAAAGAGGTGTTGGAGGCGTCGGTGTCCTTGTCAACACAAACTTGTCCAAGAGCATTGATTCATTCAAATGCCTAACAACCCAAATCGGACGTTTTCATTTGAATAGATGTGGCTCACTGCCTGCAGTTTCTATCTTCGTTGTTTACGCACCAACATCTCATTATGATGAAAGAGAAATCGAGAAGTTCTACATGGAACTGGAGAAGTTCTATAAAGAAGACCACACCTTCTACAAGATCATTGTGGGTGATTTTAATGCCAAGATAGGACCGAGAAGATCAACTGAAGAACTTCACATCGGGACCCATGGCCTAGAATGGAACGAACAGGGTGAGAGACTGTCTGAGTTCATCATGTCAACCAAGACCATCCATGGTAACTCACAGTTCCAGAAGGCAGAATCTAAACGTTGGACATGGGAGTCTCCCGGTGGACGATTCCACAACGAAATAGACCACATCATATTCAATCGACGGTTTTGCCTGACCCATGTCGCTGTTGTCCCAAAATTTCGAACGGGATCGGACCACTGTCTCCTTCGTGCAAAATTCTACTTCACAGAGCAGAGAGAAAGGGCTGAAAAGTTCAAAAAGAGAACTCCCAGAACGACCACCAACTGGGAACTCTTTGGCACTATTGCGGCAACATGAGAAGATGCCATTGTTGATAACATTGACGAGGAATACGATCGACTGGTTCAGCACCTCCATGAATGTGCGAGGAATGCCAAGAGAGAGATAGCCACAAAAAAACGCCTGTCTTCAAAAACTCTTGAGCTAATTCGCCAGCGTGGTTTGGCGCATGCCTCAGGCAACCGCAAGCTAACATCTGAGCTCGCAAAGCAGTGCAGAGATGCAATCACGGAAGACCTCAAAGAGAGAAGAGCAGAAGTACTGGTAGATGTGGCAGAAGCTGGGAAAAGTATTCGTTACGCCTGCCTGTCCTTCGCCAACTACAAGACCAAGACGACTGCCCTCCGACGTCTTGATGGATCCATCACATCCTCCAGAACGGCAATGGAGAAGATTATCCATGACTTCTACTCAAATCTCTTTGATAGCCATGTCCACTTGCCGACATACCAAATTCCACAGGATGGATATGTTGTTCCCAACGTTCTCCCTTCCGAAATCTGACACGCCATTTTGTCAGTAAAGAAACAAACAGCACCTGGCCCAGACAAGGTCAGACCTGAACACCTGAAGAACCTGCCATCAGTACTCATCAATACACTGGCTCGGCTCTTCACTCGCTACCTGTCTGAATGCAAGGTTCCGTCCCAATGGAAAACCAGCAGGACCGTACTACTGTTCAAGAAGGGAGACATCCATGACATTGGCAACTATCGCCCAATCTGCCTATTGTCTGTCATCTACAAGTTGTTCACTCGAGTCATCCTAAATAGGATTGGCAGAACACTAGATGAAGGACAACCATGCGAGCAAGCAGGGTTCCACAAAGGATTCAGCACCATCGACCATATCCACACAATAACCAAACTCATTGAGGTTTCTCGGGAGTTCAAGATGTCGCTCTGTTTAACGTTCATTGATTTAAAGAAGTCCTTTGATTCTGTTGAGATGGAAGCAGTCATTGAAGGCCTAGCCAATCAGGGCATTCAAGCCCAATACATCAAGATCCTCCGTGAGCTGTATTGCGAATTCACTACCAGGATCTCACCATTCTACAAAGAAGTGATCATTGATGTCAAGAGAGGGGTTCGGCAGGGTGATACCATTTCACCGAAACTCTTCAGTGCCACCCTCGAGAACATCATGCTACGACTGGAATGGGAAGGAATGGGAGTGAAGATAGATGGTCGGCAACTACACCACCTCCGCTTTGCTGATGACATTGTTTTAATAACACCAAACATCAGCCAAGCGGCACAAATGCTGGCCGACTTTGACCATGAGTGTGGAAAGGTCGGACTACAGCTGAATCTTACGAAGACAATGTTTATGAGAAACAGCCTTGTTCCTGATGCCCCATTCGCTCTCAATGGAACGACCGTCTCCGAATGCAACAGCTATGTGTACCTAGGTCGAGAAGTCAACATGACAAATGACCTGGCACCTGAGCTGCGCAGGAGGAAGAGAGCGGCTTGAAACGCCTTCAAGAATGTCGAAGAAATAGCTAAGAGGACGAAGAACCTCCGGCTCCGGTCACATCTCTTTGATTCCACTGTTTTTCCTGCATTAACATATGCCTCAGAGACCTGGGCCCTACGCAAACAGAATGAGAACGCTATTCAGGTCTCCCAAAGAAGAACAGAAAGAGCTATGCTTGGAATATCACGTTTCACTCAAATGATAGAAAAAATCCGGAGTTCCGACATCCGTCAACGATCAAGAATCAGGGACGCTGTCTCATTTTCCAAGGTGTCAAAAATCAGATGGGCTGGTCACGTAATGAGATTTAAAGATGACCGCTGGACTAGAGCTGTTACTGACTGGATTCCACGGGATGTCAAAAGACCGCGTGGCCGCCCACCTACCAGATGGTCAGACTTCTTCGTCAAGATCATGAACGATCAGTTTGAGGCTCTTCATGTTCCCAGAGCGAACAGATGCCATTGGGCTACACTAGCACGCGACAGGAACAAATGGAGACGTTACTGGCGCCCACTCGAGCAAATCGACAACTAACGGGAAGTTAAGTGATTAAGTGATTAAGTGATATCCCCCATATTGATCTCTGTGCATCAGCTGGAAAATCAGCAGTAATCCCTCACAATGTATGTATTGTCTATGATTGCAAAGATCCACATTGATTCTCACATGGGTCAAAAATGAGACATGGTTTCTGTCCTCAAGAAGTTTATGCAGAGGGGGTATGGTGCTGCCAGCAGGTCAATCTGTACCTGAGAAGTGAGTGCATCAGCAGCCTAATGGCACCATTAGACTTTCAGATACCCCAAAATTGCTGCTGTGGCCAGACCCCAAAAACTTGGGGCAAAGTTTATCAAGAAAGTGAACAGCCGAAAGTTGTGTATGTGGGAAACAAACCCACAAACCACCTCCAGCTCAGGTATATAATTGGAGGCATGGCCTCTCTCGTTCCTGATCGAACTGCTTGATGGCCATGATCCCAGAGACTCAGAAAGAAATCTCGGAACCCAAAGGCTTTTGGTGGAAATATGTCTTGTTAACTGCAGTGGGTTACTGACGCTGGGCCACTCCAGGTGTGAATAGGTTTTGTGCCTTGGCCTGTTCCCTTTGGCGGCCCGATGACTGCCATCCTCCAAAGGCCACTGGACGGTCAGGTTTGGGCCTGCAGTGACAAGATACATGGGGCCTCACCAGATGGGGGTGGAGCCTGCCCTTTCCTCCCCATCCCAGCGAGACCCCGAGTCACCGCCTACAGGCAGCCTCTCTGGCCCCTTATCCAGCTGATTAATGGCCATGGTCCCAGAGACTCAGAACGGCCATGGTACCAGAGACTCAGAAACAAATCTCAAAGCCCAGCGGCTTTTGGCAGAAATGCATCTGGATGCATACAAGGTGGCCACTGCCTTAGAGCTTATTTGAAAGCCAGGTATAAGCCGGCGGTGATGGAACAACTGCAGTCTCATGGGAAGGGAGGTGGTACTTGCTCATCCTTCACGGCCTACCTAGATCATGAGTTGCCCCCCACGAATGGCTCTCTGGCATGGCCATGGCTCCAGAAGCAAAAGGACTTAATCCAGAGCCCAGCAGCTTGCAGCAGGAAAGTGAATGGATCATGTATTAAACTATGGCACCATGCCTTCCTGGGAGGGAAGGGGTGTTGCTCCCTTCCGCTTTTTTCCCCTCTGGTAGCAAGGTGGCCACCGCCTCAGAGCTTATTGGAAATCCAGGTATAAGCCAGCGGTGACGGGGCAACTGCAGTCTCATTTGAAGGGGGGCAGTACCAGCTCGTCCTTCATGCCCTACCGAGGTCATGAGTTGCCCCATGATCGGCTTTCCGGCATGGCCATGGCTCCAGAGGGAAAAGGACTTAATCCAGAGCCAGGCAGCTTGCGGCAGAAAAGTAAATGGACCATGCATTAAACTATGGCGCCATGCCCCCACCGGGAGGGAAAGGATGTTGCTCCCTTCTGCCTCCCCTCCCCCCC